TTATTTATTTATTTATTTATTAATTTATTATTGTATTGATTTATTTCTATTTCGTCTTCTTCTTCTTCTTCTTCTTTTGCTTCTTCTTCTTCTTCTTCGTCTTCTTCTTCTTCTTCTTCTTCTTCTTCTTCTTCTTCTTCTTCTTCTTCTTCTTCTTATCTTAATTTCTATTTTTCTTTTCCCCCTCCTCCTCCTTCATCTTCTTCTGGTTCTGCTTCTTCTTCTTTACCTTCTTCTTCTGCTTCTTTTTCTTCTTCTTGTTTCTTCTTCTTCTGCTTCTTTTTCTTCTTCTGCGTTGGCCTTTAAAAGGGTTGTTACTTTGTGCTTTACAGCTAGACTGCGGTATCTACGTCTTTCGTCCTAACACATGCAAATCCTCAACTAGTTGCTTTTACAAAATACTTGTTTGAGAAAGATGGTAAGGCAGCGAGGGAGGGTGGGTGGAGGGGGAGCAGTGGACCATGTCATTTTATCCATAAAAATAACGCCCTAGAACGGGAATATCGTGAAACCCAAAATCGCGAGCCGAAGAATAGTAGTAAATAATTACCGGCCTTGAAATCCCAGGACTAACAAGTTCTTTTCCTTCGCCAAGGTGAACGCCCGTGACCTCAGCAATAAGATCAATGTAAGACCTGCCCTGTGTACAAAAAGAACAGCCAACGCAATGTTTCCCCGTTGTAAATTTGAAGCCCGGCAAAAACCACAGATTGGACAATTTATTGTCTGACATCTTGTTGTTTCCCGCCAAGAGCTTACAATAGAAATAAACGGAACGAAGCAGGTTAATGAATCTTTTCAAGTTGAAGACACAACACTACAGTCTATTACATTTTAATGGCTTCGTATGTTGCGCAATCTGTGAATTTGTGTCTGCATTGCCGAACAACAACTACAGTATAACAATCCGTGTCTCTTAAGAATAAAGCTTTCTCGAATGGGTTTTTGGGGTCCAAGTATAAATTTTTTTTGTTGAATTGGAGTAAAGGGGGAGGGGGGGGGGAATCGCTAACACCCCCCTACCACCTCCACACCCCCCCCCCACCCCCTCTCTCCACTTACCTCACCAAAAAACATGTCAAACCAATAACACACGACTAATTCTTTAATATTTCTTTTTCTTCTGCGTTTCACCTTGAAATGGGCGAATGGGTGGGGGGGGGGGGGGGGGGAAGAGGGGTTCAGCTAACACCCCTCCCCCCTCACCCACCCCGACACCTGACAAAGAAACATGTCAAAACAATAACAAAGCGACTAATTCTTTCAAACTTTTTCTACTGCTTTCACCTTGAGAGGGGTGATGAAGCGCGCTATGTTGTGGTTGTACAGCGAGGCAGCGATATCTGCGTCAGAGTTCATCAAACTGTTTATTGTTTTTTTTTTTTCCAGAGTACCTAAATCCCCAGTCCCGTGCCTCCGGACGCTGCACCGGCACCCAATTACAATTCACAACAGCTTTCTAGACACCGACCTATCTACGCTCATTACACATATTGTCTGTCTGTTTCAACCTGTCTATTTAAGTTTGTCTATTTCCGTCTACATAAACATGCCAGATTTTGTTCTCGTTGCTAATGTGTCGCATATTTGTATTGCCACTTTTAACTCGCACCCCATGATTTGTACACTTTGGCCCGAGCGTGCATGTTTGTAAACAAAATATTATCTATCCGTCGCGGTACGTCATCTAAATCTGTCTGTAGTCTGGCTCTTGTTTTCATTCCCGTGTGTTTCTGCCGCAGATTCTTATCTTCTCACTTCTGTGATTCCACTTCTCTAGAAGATGTCATGACACGCAACCGCAGCTAAAACTCTATTATCTATTTTATCTGTGTCTAATTGCTGTTATTTAGAATTTCGTAAATAGAATCGTTGTTTCTCGTATCTTACTCCTCCCACCCCCTCCCCCACCACCACCCCCGCCGACTACCCCCTTTTTTAAAAGTAATTTGGTAATAAAATAATTGTTTGCATTTATAACTGGATCCAGAATCAAACGTTAGTTAGTTAGTCGACATATTATCCTCATTGCACGTGGAACCACTCAGTCCATAAGTTCTCAGGTCCCCTCCTCAGTAGATCCCACAGCTAACGACACTAGTTTTGTGTTGGTTTATTCTTCTTCTGTGACTACCCGCGTAGTTTTTTTTTGCGATTCCCCGTTTAACATGTTGTTCTCGCAGTCTGACCATGGTTGCAGATTCACAGTTCTCAGTTGGTTCACGCAAACGTCTTAACTCTCTTATAGCATTCAGTATATCAGCCTGGTCCATGGCTTGTCCGGCTTTCACAGTAGCCTTACCTGCAAGTCTATCAGCTTGCTCATTTCCTTGTACTCCCACATGTCCTGGCACAAAAATGAAACTAATCCTTGTCAGCCGTGAGCCACCACCACTGCCTTGGGACCCAGCCCTTCTCTATCTTCCTCAGCATACTCATCGAGTCACTGAGAAAGCATGCCCTAGGGAAAGTCTGTGTCTCTAGCCATGTTACTGCTTTAGTCACAGCCATGACCTCCATAGTCAGACTGCTTCTGAATCGAACGTGTTATAAGCTATAGTGGAGACAGTCATTCTTTTGCATCCGAATGTGTTTGTGTATTAAGTTCAAAGACACAGAGACTAGGAATGTGTGTATATGTGTGTGTGTGGGGGGGGGGGGGGTGGCATGTTGCTATTTGACAAATAAGTGGCCATTAGTAAAGTTCTCAAAACAGATTAGAATAAGAGGGCGAGTAAAAGAAGACCTGGTTATGAAGAAGATGATGATGACGGTAAGACGACGAAGGAAATGATAGCTAAAGGAAGAAGAAGATGATGATGACAACGATGAAGATAATAACAATGTAGATGACGATGACAGTAAAGAAAAAGAAGACGAAGAAGAAGAAGAAGAAGAAGAAGAAGAAGAAGAAGAAGAAGAAGAAGAAGAAGAAGAAGAAGAAGAAGAGTATGAGGAGGAGGAGGAGGAGAAGAAGAAGAAGAAGAAGAAGAAGAAGAAGAAGAAGAAGAAGAAGAAGAAGAAGAAGAAGAAGAAGAAGAAGAAGAAGAAGAAGAAGAAGAAGAAGAAGAAGAAGAAGAAGAAGAAGAAGAAGAAAGAAGAAGAAGAAGAAGAAATGAGGAAAAAGAAGAAAGAAAGAAAGAAAGAAAGAAAGAAAGAAAAAGAAAGAAAGAAAGAAAGAAAGAAAGAAAAAGAAAGAAAGAAAGAAAGAAAGAAAAAGAAAGAAAGAAAGAAAGAAAGAAAGAAAGAAAGAAAGAAAGAAAGAAAAAGAAAGAAAAGAAAGAAAGAAAGAAAGAAAGAAAGAAAGAAAGAAAGAAAGAAAGAAAGAAAGAAAGAAAGAAAGAAAGAAAGAAAGAAAGAAAGAAAGAAAGAAAGAAAGAAAGAAAGAAAGAAAGAAAGAAAGAAAGAAAGAAAGAAAGAAAGAAAGAAAGAAAAAAAGAAAGAAAGAAAGAAAGAACAACCACAAGGATAACAAAATGTAGGCAGTGTGTGGTCTGAAATGGAACTTCAAACAGATACTCAAGAATACAAGATACACTGAAAACGTTACATTAATAAACATCAGAAATAAAAGTGAGCGCGCGACTATAACAATGTTAACTAAACAATTAACACCTTTACCATCGCTCTAGCCTCCCGTTACAAATGTATGTATGCTATGCTGTCCCCCCCCCCCCTTTTTTTTTTTTTTCCCACACACTCACACACACACACACATACACACAAACACACACGCGCGCACATATGCGCACACGAACCACTACAAGCACACACATCATGCATAGTAAGTAGTTCTCCTTGGGGAAAAACAAATATTTCCTACTACGAAGTGTCAATTACAGCAATGGCGAAAAATTCTCCTGAAAGTGTGCTGGTACTGCGTACCCTTGGATGATGATAAATGACATACACCCCCTCCCCTCCTCCTGTTTTTTCCTACGTTTCCCCTCTGTAAGAAAACGTGTGAGGGACAGAGGGACCCGCCCAATGTTTTCTTTATGTCATCGCCCATGGTAACAACGAACTTGAGAAAGCAGAATTGTTGTGGCTGGAAATGCTTGAATGTTAAGTGAAAAACTATAACTTCAAGAGATCCCGAAATGCACGACTGCAAACGTTACAGTTGTGGTGCTCTCAAACATGCCTTGAATCATATTTTATGGGAGGACATGTAAGTAATCTGCACTTGTTGTCAAGAGATTTGTCTTTTTTTTTTTTTTGGGTTCCTATCTTGATTTGTTTTATAGTTGGAAAAAGGGGGGGGGGGGGATGGGGGATATATGGGAAACAAAAACAATATATTATATTGATCTCATCTAGGCTGGTACCGTTATTTTTGTTCTTCTTCTTCTTCTTCTTCTTCTTCTTCTTCTTCTTCTTCCTCTTCTTCGTCTTCTCCTTCTTCTTTTTCTGCGTGTCCCTGTTCTTTTTCTTTTTTTTTCTTGTTCTCTTTTTTCCTGTTCTTCTTTATCTTTCGCGTTTCGCTGATTTCGACAAAGTGATGGAACGCCGACCACTCAGAAGCAGAATGAAACTAATCAACACCAACCAGCAGTCCAACATATTTCTTGTCACGACGCACCTCAAAGTCTCTCTCTGCCTGTAGCGAATTCTCCAGCCCTGTGTGCGTTCTCAGTCAATGCATGTTTAATGTCTTCTATCCACTTCGCTGTGGTCGGCCTCAAACTCGTTTTCCTGACACTGCACCATCCATCGCCGTTTTGTTTCTGTTCTCCCAGACACCATGACGTTTGCCAGCTATCCTACACAAATTCTGGAAATAGCCAACAGAGAATCCCCAAACAAACAATGAAATTGGAAATAGGGCAGCTTGGGAAACAAGGAACTCAAAGAGAACCCAAAAGCCAACGTTGATGAGAAAAGCCGGTGCTTTATTAATATCCTATTCAAGATAACGTCACAGGACAGTTCAACGTTCGAAAGGGTGGTAAGACTGGGTTTTCCGGCTCTCTGAAGCTTTTAACGAATCCTAAAACATCTAGAACTGGCTCTAAACCCAACCCATCTGCGTCACACGAAAGTGCAACCTAGGTCCCACGACTGCATACTGCCTAGGTCTCACGCAGGGCCTCAAATGGCTTAACTTTTTAAATTGTCAATTGCGCAATTGTAATGTGTAACTGTGTAATGTAATGTGTAATTGTAATGTGCTGATCGGACACTGAAATATACTGTTATTGTAAAATAATCTGAAATGTATAAACCAGTAGTTAAAAACAGAAAATATATATATATGGTTAGCGAAGACACTTGACCCCTCTTGTGTGTGGCGAAGGGTTAACACGCCATACTATGTTATTGGAAGGAGGGAGCTCAAAACGCCTCAGCTCACAGGCTACAGTGTAATAGATCTACACCTACCTCCGGTTTTAGGTTGCTGTCGTCATCCCTGTTAAGCTCTGTTCTGTCATTGACAAAATCAATCATCAGATGATATGTCAGCATGCCGCCAAACTGTCAAGTAGAGAGCACAATACAAATTTCCACTCAGATGCCAAACGAATGACAGACGCGCACATTACAACACAAAATTCCATCCAAAGTCTAAATCAACGAAAAATACAGTAGGAATAATAAACCACGGTAAAAAAAAAAAAAGTAAAGATCCCTTGTCACGCCTTTAAGCGCATCGGGTATATAGGAAGAGCGTTCATATATTTTCAGACTATTGGCACTTTGTGGGTAATGTGGTCAGCATTAAGCTGAACGTCTCTGCTTCTCCAGGACATACATCCTGGTACCCATTGCAGGCTGGATCAACCTGCGACTCCCCATACCACGATAAAAATCCACGCATAATAAACCACAACCAACGTAAAATAGGCAAAACTAAAATCAAAATGGGAAAGCTATTATCTGGAACAGCCATGGCGACATGTAAAAAAAAAAAAACAAAGAAGCGATATGAGGTGAATAAATTATTGTTGAAAAAGTACAACAATAAAGTGGGGAAGGAGGAATGGTGACATTTTAGGAAGAATTTAGGTTGTTTTGTTTTTTTAACGAACAGACATGAATGGTGCTTCATTAGTCAGTTCAACTCCCTAAGGGCCTAGCTGAACAACAAACATATAAAATTCTAATATGTCCAATGACCCACTGGCGTGTGACATCAGTCAGACTCATTTTCTCATGACCTAGCTCACACTAGACTCAGTGTAAAGGTTTCACACTGCAGACCTGTATCTGACTTTTAAGGTCGTTTGCCTGTACGGTTTCCATGTTGCACACAGAGCCGGAGTTGAGACAAACATTCGTTAATTCATCACAAATAATTCTCTAACTACATTTCACTTGTGTGTAAACGTCGTTTAGCCTGGTAATCAACACTGCAATCAACTCACTGGTGTTTTCAACACATTTTATTCTTTTATTTTTTTTATGTTTTTATTTCGTTCGGATAGTGTAGTTATGCACATTGCTCTCATTATTGATTATCTTCACTATCTTGATCGTTGTTATTGTTACTATAATATTCCACTTCTCCTAAATCTCATTCTTCTTCTTCTTCTTCTTCTCCTCCTCAAGAAGAAAATGAGAGAAAGAAGAAGAAGAAGAAGAAGAAGAAGAAGAAGAAGAAGAAGAAGAAGAAGAAGAAGAAGAAGAAGAAGAAGAAGAAGAAGAAGAAGAAGAAGAAGAAGAAGAAGAAGAAGAAGAAGAAGAAGAAGAAGAAGAATAAGAAGAAGAAGAAGAAGAAGAAGAAGAAGAAGAAGAAGAAGAAGAAGAAGAAGAAGAAGAAGAGAGGAGGAGGAAGAAGAAGAAGAAGAAAAAGAAGAAGAAGAAGAAGAAGAAGAAGAAGAAGAAGAAGAAGAAGAAGAAGAAGAAGAAGAAGAAGAAGAAGAAGAAGAAGAAGAAGAAGAAGAAGAAGAGGAGGAGGAAGAATAAGAAGAAGAAGAAGAAGAACAACAACAACAACAACAACAACAACAACAACAAAAACAACGAAGAAAAAAATTACCCTCTTGGGTGATGTCTTCTCATCGGGAGGAAACCACATGACCGCGGGTACATCTCTGGTCTTCATTCTGGGGATAGTGATGAGAATAATCTTTCATTTCTCTGCCCAGTTTTCCAACCAGATTTGTCCACTATTTTTGTTCATAAACAGACCCCCCCCCCTCCCCCCCCCTCTCTCTCTCTCTCTCTCTCTCTCTCTCTCTCTCTCTCTCTCTCTCTCTCTCTCTCTCTCTCTCTCTCTCTCTCTCTCTCTCTCTCTCTCTCTCTCTCCTACCCCCCAAAAAACCTGGAAGAATGCTGCAAAGGATCTATCTGAACAAAGATTATTACAAGATACTGTCTTATATTTCGGGGAGTTGTGAGGGTGAGGGTACGATACAACTACAACTACTACTACAATTACTACTATTGCTGATACTAATGCTAACATAACTACAAACAATACCAACTGCAACTGCTGCTCTGCTGCAGTAACTACTAGTATTTTTATTACAAGCTACTACTACTGGTTTCTACCAAAACCACTTCTGCTACTTTCTCTGCTCCTGCTCCTGTTGCTGCTGATGCGACTACTACTTTTGCTGCTGCTGATACTACTACCAAAATGCTACTGCTGCTACTACTGCTGCTACTGGTGGTGCTACTAATACTGCTGAGCTGTTGCGACTGCTGCTACTACTACTACTACAATTGCTGATGCTGCTGCTGCTACTACTACTACAACTACTACTACGACTACTGCCGCTACTACTACTACTACTACTTATGCTGTTGCTACTATAACTACTACTATAATTGCTGATGCTGCAGCTATTACTACTACTATTGCTACTACTACTACGACTACGCCACAACTGTTGCTGCTTACATGTTGTCTCGGAGTTTCTTGTGCTTGACAACATCCAATGTTGCGAAAATTACCTATGGAGGTAAAGAACACAGTCAGTTTTAGGACGGTTACAAGAATGTTGTAGGGATGTTTGGTTTTATGGTTGACTTTATGTCTGGTTGGTTGTTTTGCTGTGTGGACGGTGGTTGGTTTCTTGTGTGTGAATGGTGGTTGGTTGGCTATGTGGATGGTGGTTAGTTTGCAGTGTATGGATGGTGGTGGGTTTGTTGTGTGGATGGTGGTTAGTTTGCTGTGTGGATGGTGGTTAGTTTGCTGTGTGGATGGTGGTTGGTTTGCTGTGTGGATGGTGGTTGGTTTGCTGTATGGATGGGGGTTGGTTTGCTGTGTGGATGGTGGTTGGTTTGCTGTGTGGATGGTAGTTGATTTGCTGTGTGGATGGTGGTTGGATTGCTGTGTGGATGGTGGTTGGTTTGCTGTGAAGATGGTGGTTGGTTTGCTGTGTGGATGGTGGTTGGATTGCTGTGTGGATAGTGGTTGGTTTGCTGTGTGGATGGTGGTTGGTTTGCTGTGTGGATGGTGGTTGGATTGCTGTGTGGATGGTGGTTGGTTTGCTGTGTGGATGGTGGTTGGTTTGCTGTATGGATAGTGGTTGGTTTGCTGTGTGGATGGTGGTTGGTTTGCTGTGTGGATGGTGGTTGGATTGCTGTGTGGATGGTGGTTGGTTTGCTGTGTGGATGGTGGTTGGTTTGCTGTGTGGATGGTGGTTGGTTTGCTGTGAAGATGGTGGTTGGTTTGCTGTGTGGATGGTGGTTGGTTTGCTGTATGGATAGTGGTTGGTTTGCTGTGTGGATGGTGGTTGGTTTTCTGTGTGGATGGTGGTTGGATTGCTGTGTGGATAGTGGTTGGTTTGCTGTGTGGATGGTGGTTGGTTTGCTGTGTGGATGGTGGTTGGTTTGCTGTGTGGATGGTGGTTGCTTGTTGGTTGGGTATTTTTGTGGTTCTTTGTTTAGCTGATTGAATGTATGAGTAGTTAGATGGTTGGTTGTCCGATTAACGATTAGTTCACATGGATGGTTGAAATATTGCCTGGTTGACAGGCTGTTTGGTGACATGTTATTAGTTTGACATCCTGTTTAGTTGACAGGTTGTTTGGTTGAAAGGTTGTTAGGATAATATGTTGTTTGTTTGTAAGGCTGTATAGTTGATAAGTTGTTTAGTTGAATGGTTGTTTGGTTGACGGGATGTTTTGCTGAGCGATAGTTGGATCGAGATGTGTTATGTAAGAGATTGTTTAGCTGACTAGTTGTTTGGTCGACAGGCTGTTTTGTTGAGATGTTGTTTGATTGACGTGTTATTATGCTGATTAGTTGTTTGATTGACGTGTTATTATGCTGATTAGTTGTTTGATTGACGTGTTATTAGGCTGATTAGTTGTTTGATTGACGTGTTATTATGCTGATTAGTTGTTTGATTGACGTGTTATTATGCTGATTAGTTGTTTGATTGACGTGTTATTATGCTGATTAGTTGTTTGGTTGACGTGTTATTATGCTGATTAGTTGTTTGATTGACGTGTTATTATGCTGATTAGTTGTTTGATTGACGTGTTATTATGCTGATTAGTTGTTTGGTTGACAGCTTGTTTGGAGGACATGTTGTTTGTTTGATAGGCTGTGTAGCTGACAAGCTGTTTAGTTGACAGGTTGTTTAGTTAACAGGTTGTTTAACTGACAGGTTGTTTAGTTGACAGGTTGTTTGGTTGACAGGTTGTTAAGGTGACATATTGCATTTTGACAGTTTGTTGTTGTTGTTGTTGTTGACAGGTTGTTTGTCTGACAGGTTGTTTAGTTGATCGGCTTTTTAGTTGACAGGTCGTTTGGTTGACAGGTTGTATGGTTGAAAGGTTTTGGGTTGGTATGTTGTTTGATCGACAGGCTGTTTAGCTGGCTTGTTGTTTAGTTGGCAAATTGTTTTATTGACATATTGTTTAGTTGCTAATTGTTTTATTGACATACTGTTTGGTTGGCAAATTGTTTTATTGACTCATTGTTTAGTTAGCAAATTGTTTTATTGACATATTGTTTAGTTGGCAAATTGTTTTATTGACATACTGTTTAGTTGGCAAATTGTTTTATTGACTCATTTTTTAGTTGGTAAATTGTTTTATTGACATATTGTTTAGTTGACAGGTTGTTTGCTCGGCTGGGGCACTTGTTATTAGCAGTGTGAACGGTTGGTTGGCTGAATAGTTTGTTTGATGTTTGGAGGGGGTGTAGGGTGGTGTTTGGTTGATTGATTGCAAGGCTGATTGGCTAGTTGTCTGAATAATTCTCTTGCTGAATGGTTTATTGGTTAATTATTAGTTGGTTGATCTGCTGATAAGACAACTGGATGGTTGCCAGTTTGCTTGAATGAATATATTATAGGATTTTCTTTTTTCTTGTTGGATTACTGCAAAGATGAATAACTGTTCTAAGGTAGGTTAGTTGTGTATCATTTACATGACTTTGCAGACCAAACCCCAACAGCCCCTGGCTGTAGTGTGGTTTTTCTAGACAGATTTACGTCCAGTAGTTCAACTGTTCGAAAGAATGTTTATATGTGATTATTAGGTGCACTTTGTTGGTTGGTTGAATTATTTTCTTTGCCGTTTTGATGGTTAGTTGGTTTTTGTATTCCTTGCTTGATTGGTTGCTGATTCAATGGGTGTGTTGTTTGCTTTCATGCTCGTTTGATTGGTTAGTGGGTCTGTCATTTGGTTGGTTGTTTGGTTATTTAGTTGGTTTATGAATATCCTGATCAGGAAGTTTCCTTACGTATGTTCGATGCATTTTGAGGAGAGGTATTGCCAAGTTTCTCATTGGCTAGAGAATAACATGGAGTGATGAGAACAGGAGTGACTACTGGCAAGCTCATACTAATATTTAAATCAAATGAACTATGATTAAAAAAAAGCTTAACGAAGAGAAAAAGGGAATGAACACACACACAAGAGAGAGAGAGAGAGAGAGAGAGAGAGAGAGAGAGAGAGAGAGAGAGAGAGAGAGAGAGAGAGAGAGAGAGAGAGAGAGAAATCAGATGTTTTGTCAGGAATCTTTATCGACAAAAACCCCACGAACAATACCTGTCCCTTGTTGTTGGTGTGGTTTATGTCGATAAAGGTCCCTGTGGAACCCTTTATTTTGCTATGGTGTTTGTGCGTGTGTGTGTGTGTGGGAGAGAGAGAGTGCGCACGTGTGCATGTGGGAGAGAGTGTGTGTGCGAGTGTGTGAATGTGTGTGCGTGTGTGTGTGTGTTGTGTTGTTATCCTCCTCCTTCTCTCTTCTGTAATATTGTTTAGCCAAAGTTCAGAGGATTAATTTTTTTTAAGAGATTTATTCACACCTATGCACACATAAAATAAAGACAGAATAAGGAAATTTAAAAGGCACAGCAGGGCAAACCGTTAGTACATCTGGCTCTTAAGTGGGAGATTTGGGTTTAATCCTCAGTAAGGTTATAGGTTGCTTTTTTTTAGTCAAAAATAAAATCCTGACCCACACAGTCCGTGAAGGAGGGGGGGGGGGGGGAAGGGGGAAATACTAGGCAAGCAGCCTTACATCCTAGGACTCAAGTGAATTAGAAACAGACAGTACTGACGGTTGTTGTTACCCTGGTTGAGGGCCTATGCTCCACTGGAGGATAAAATACAGAAAAGAAAGAATGTGGATAATCAAAGTTGAAGCACACAAGAATTATGTCTAAACTCATCACACTTGAAAAGGACCAAAATTATATTATAGTCTTCTTATGTGAGTTACTCTCAGTACAATGGACACTTAGGAATAAACTCACAGGGAGCAAGTACAGCAGGGATCTACCAGTCGTCAGTAGAAATGATCCTCGTCAACGAGCGTTTCGGCCCACTATTCCTAGACGCTTTCGGAGGTGGGCCCACCTGAGTTCATGAAGCTCGGGGCTGGTTCCCTGCTGCACGAAATTACCGGATGGTGTTTTTCTTTCGACCAGAGACAAGACGACTTGGTGGTTTGCAGAAGGTACTGTGAGATAAGAAATCGCCGCGGCAGCCTAATTAGAACAGTCAGCGTGCCTGGACGACCGAGCGACAAGCTTACGATTGGTTTACCGGACACATGTTGAACTTTTGTTAGCAGGTGGCAGAGGAACACTGGCAGACAATTCGGACACGATGGACTTTCAAGGGGTGAGAAACCCTTTTCCACTAGACACCCGGACCAGCTCACCGAGGCCCGTCCCCTACGTTGTTGCGTTGCGTCCAAAGCCAGCTAGAGGCCCTTTCGGCTACCTCTCCCAGTTTTTTAAGTGTTCGTTTCCGTTTATTACCGCGCAATCCTAGTTCTTTAACCACATTGTAGAGCGAAGTGGAAACGAGGCCTCTCGCTCCCACTTCGACGGCAAAGACCCGTACCGTGTACGCCTCGTTTCTCCTCAGACCGACTGCTAAATCACTGTATTTCTCGAGCTTATACATGTGATTCTCCTTCATACGCGACTCAAACGGGACAGTCAACTCAATCAGGATGAGCTGCCATTTTTGCGCAGAGTGGAGGACTATGTCCGGTCGCAGGCCGGTCTTCCGAATTAACTCGGCGTACCGTTCATGGCCCGGCAGATCAACCGCCAGTAACCAGTCCCTCGCAGAGTCTAGCACAGATGGAGCGAATGCGTTTTGGTTGACCTTACCTTTTGGAACCTGTCCAGCCTTGAGGAAACGAATGGGGACGATGCTAGAACTGGCTCTGGCGTTAGCCCTCATTCTAGCCTGGTCAACAACGGCTGCTAACTCTTTTAGCACCTTGTTGTGTCGCCAGGTATATCGGCCTTGACCTAGGGCTTTCCTGCACGCTGACAGGACGTGCTCAAGAGTCTGCTTCGATTTACACAACGGGCAAATCGGATCGTTAGTCGCAGACCATTTAACCATGTTAACACCGGACGGTAATACATCGTACGCCGCACGATGATCCTCTGATCCTGCGGGTTTCTCTCAGCACACTTGAATGGACAACTTTTTTATACTCTTTGGTGTGGATTTATCTCATCACACTTGAATGGATAATTATATTATACTCTCCTGGTGTGGGTTTATCTCATCACAATTGAATGGACAATATTACACTCTACTCGTGCGTGTTTTCCCTCACCATAATGGACGGTTATGTTATACTCTTCTCGTGTGGTTTTCTCTCATCACACTTGAATGGACAATTATATAATATTCTTCTTGTGTGGGGTTTCTCTTATCACACTTGAATGGACAATTTTATTATACACTGCTCTGTGGGTTTCTCTCATTACACTTGAAAAGAAAATTATATTATACTTTTTTCGTGTGGGTTTCCAGGGTCCCATTATGCGGAAAACAAGAACAGACCAACTACCTCCCTAGCAAGCATGTCGTAAGAGTCCACTAATAGGGGGCTTCCTTTAAAGTATGAGTGAATTTGCCTGAGAGGCAAGGAACCAACAGTCTGCATATAAATAAGCAAGATCTGTAAAACTGATGCACACACAGAACTTAGGTCCTGGAACAAAGCCCAAGTCGAGAAATGGACGAACAACCAGGTCTCTCCACTGGGGTTTACAGCCGGTCAACACAGACAACAAACAAAAACAAAAGCTAAAATCCGGAAGTGGACGACGAACAGAACTTTTCGCAGCCTGGTAACGCTAAGATAAAGAAGAAGATATTATACTCACTGCGTCATCCCTACGAAAGGTATATGCGGCTTTCTCTATCATCTGTCGTTCACGTGCGTTACCTGAAATATTCGAAGATGCAGAAGCAGTTTCAGTTCTAGTATAGTTCACACAAACACAAGCAGCAGGAAACAGCAGGACACAACAGGACACAACAGGAAACAGCAGGAAACAGCAGGACACAACAGGACACAACAGGAAACAGCAGGACACAACAGGAAACAACAGGACACAACAGGAAACAGCAGGACACAACAGGAAACAGCAGGACACAACAGGAAACAACAGGACACAACAGGAAACAGCAGGACACAACAGGAAACAGCAGGACACAGCAGGAAACACGGTCGATTAGTGAGTTACTGAGGATTAACACTAAATCATTTTAGACAGATCCACAGGCGTTCCCGTTTCCTCCACAACAGCCCTATGGGCTTACCACGTCCGTTTTGTGTTGATTAATCAGACGCCCTTGTGGAATTACACCAGCGACAGGGTGTCTCATTGGCTCGCCGGTAGACGACTTCGTCGCCGTTAGGAACAGTATGTGGGATTGTCTCCATTGATGGCATCCACACTGCAGGAGTCCTTTCCGTGGCTCTTGGTGGCGTGCATGGCTAATAGCAATTTTATATAGCGCACATAACCTAGTCACAATTATAACCTAGAGCTCCTCCTTCAAGGATGCCGGTTTAACGTGACAATTTTATTCTCTCCAAGTAGAAGACCAGCATGTTCAACCCTTATATATATAAGTAAAGGACCCTTTTCCTCGCCCTCTGTGTACTTGACATATAGGGTTAGACTTCTGTTTTATAGACCAATCGGCACTGGGTGGGTGACGTCACACTGGCCGCCTTTACCTCCCATGATTTTAGCTAGTACTAATTTGGGGTCTGGTCGACCTAGCAGCCAAGGTCATTTTCTTTTTTAAATCGGCACCGTCAGTACCCGAATCTACGACTTTCAGATCTGTGGGCGAGCGACTAGCTGCTGGACCACGTGGCTAAACTCATTCAATAGGTCAGAGAAACTGAAGACATACACTCTATCCCTCATGCTCTTTTACTCTTTCCCCCACCTCCTTGTTTGTCTAGCCCTCTTTCTTTTTTAAACGCTTTCAAAATAAGTGTGATCGTGATGTGATACCTCTCTTTCTCTCTATCTCTATCTCTTTCTCTTTCTCTCTTTCTCTCTCTCTCTCTCTCTCTCTCTCTCTCTCTCTCTCTCTCTCTCTCTCTTTCTCTCTCTGTCAGTAGACATAACAATAGACTCACAACGTAAACTCTGCCTTGAAGCAGATACAACTGTGGCCTTCTATCGGAAACTCACCTTTGTCATGAACCAGCATCATCACCGACTGTCTGGGGGTCACGACCAGCTCGTCGTAGTTGTTGTCGTTGACCTCCACGGTGTAGATGCGGGTCAGCCCATCAAAGTTACCGCGCGTTATATGGCTAATCTCACCAATGATGTCATCCACCTTGATATCCACTGGGAATCTGCAGTGGACAAACAGTCACTATTTATGTGATAAACAATCACTGTTTATGTGATAAACAATCACTGTTTATCTCAACGTCTTCTCTTTTCTTTGTGTTCCCCAAACTGCGGCCTCCTCCAGTGGAATATTCGGTTCTTAATTTGTAACGTACCCCAAACACGAAATTCCCGTGTGAAATCCACAGCTGACCTGACAGTCCATTATTTCAAGGGGTGCAAGTGTGCTGTTGTGTGGTGTTGTTTCTGAGTGTTCATCTAGTGTCTTCTAACCCTAACCCTAATCCTAACCCTAACCCTAACCCTAAACTTGGCTGTAGATAAATCGCGAGAAACTACAACCTGAAAACCTTAGAATTTATTGGGAATGTCTCCCGTGACGTTGTCGTGACGTCAGGGGTAAGTTATAAATTAAGTACCGAATATTCTGGATGTTATTAAACTACTGGACCTAACTTTTGTTCCAGAACTTCAGTCTGCATGCACATATCTTTTGCAGATCAGTTTTATTTGTATGCAGACTGTTGGTTCTCTCCTTGAAGGCAGATGAACTCCGATTTCACAGGATGTATCTCTAATTTGACGATATCTACAACATGCCTGTTGGGTAGCAGTGGTTCTATCCCACCATCTCCCTTTCCCTCCCCCAGCCCCACAATGGAGCCCTAAAACCCACCAAGGGTTTATGTAAGGCTAAAAGTAACGAAGCCCTGTTTATTGAGCTTGCGTTGCTAAAATCCCATTTTCACAAACCAGTCTTATTCGGTGGATGATATGGTCCATATCAGACCGGTCGACTTTACTTCCCAGGACATTTCATGATGCCCATAATAGGCAAAGTCGACCTGGGAGTCAATGTCACTACTGATGAAAAATCCGACTTAGTGAAGATTGGAACTCAACACCCACACGCCGGCAGCCCAACGTTAAGCTATTATGCCACCGCGGCCCCCCCCCCCCCTCCCCCCACTGGCTGTGTGGCAGGCCCTAACTCATCGCAAGGTGGATGCTTATCTGCTTGAAGGTCTTTTGTCCGAAACGGTATAAGACTTTTTTATAAATTGTTTAGTTCCCATATCGACTCAGAGAAAAGCAGATAGCCATGTAGACAGTTAGACAAACAGAGAGCAGACAGACAGACAGACAGTCAGACAGACAGACAGACAAACAGACGGACGGACAGACAGACAGACAGACAGACAGACAGACAGACAGACAGACAGACAGACAGACAGACAGACAGACAGACAGACAGACAGACAGACAGACAGACAGACAGACAGACAGACAGACAGACAGACAGACAGACAGACAGTACTCACAACTCGTAGTTTTTCTTTCCTGCCCTGTGGTATATGAGCGCTGGAAGGTCGGTAATTCCCCATTCCTAAAAATAATTACATGAAACACTATCATCTCCTAGGAGACAGTCCCATACATGCTTTTAAAATATGTCGCAACAGTTGTCCTTATTATTATACGTACTTGGCTGTAGGTTACACCTGGTCCTAATTATAACTTCTTTGGAGGTTGAGTGGGGTATCCGAGATTTACCTTGGTCTATCATCCAGAGTGAGATTATGTAACCTTATGATACTAGGGAAAACATTATAGTAGCAGCAGCCACGAGGGGACAAACCGATCGCTCGATTGATAGCAGTAAGAGTTTTCTTTAACAGCTATCAAAACAGCTTGTTCAAGGGCTCGGTGGTCGTAACCTTGAAGCCTAACTGGAATGACATTCTACAATGACGGCTGTAGTTCGGAATTCGAAAATAATCCGTTCCGAGACAGCGTTCGAATTCCAAATCGTTCAAGTTCTAACGGCAATTTTCTTTTTGAAAATATTGGATAATAACTTAATACGTTCCAGTATCGAACAAACTCAAAGTTTAAAATGTATTTTCCTAAATTCAGTACAATTTACTATTATTTGATGTATGAAGGAAATGATGGCTAAAAGGATGGAGAGTAGACAGGCTGAATGTTAATGCGTGCCCAATTCCTAACCCTTTGAAAATACAGTTTGTTCGTTTGTTCGTTCATTCGTTTGTTTTAATCAGGAGCGTTCAAACCGAGGCGACAAGGTCACTTGTCCTTGCCACCCTCTTCCCCCCCCCCCTCCCTCTTTATCAATAAATAAGTCAGTAAATAATTACTGGGTCTACCGAAGTCGAGTCATGTGTGGGTACGGATCTAGGTTTAGATTACAATTCATGAAACACATAAATGAACAAGGACAATCACTGGCGTTACAATTACATATGCTCTAATTATAGCATTCATAAGGTTGAACAGGCTGTCTGGTTTGTGTCTTGTTGCTCTGGCATATGCTGTATGGCTCATCGGGTCTCCGGAGAATCTAAACTTCAGTTAGCGGTGCGAGGTAAGTAAAACTGCCAATCATTGACAAACACCAGTCAGTCAACGAAAGAGATGACACGGGAGAGTAAGCGGTTGATCTTGTCTTTCTTGTCTTCCAACTCTGCTCTGTGCCGCTTGGCTATCAGATGATTGGTATCCGAGCTAGGGCACGCTCAGTTACCCTGTATGATGTGACGCTGTGGAGTCCTAATGTATCAGTGAGCCCTTCATTTCATCTTCTTCTCGATCGTCCTCTACCCCTTGGTGTTTCTACTTTCATGTCGTACGCTGGCATTATATTCTTTATAATTAAATGTATGAGGCTGCGTGGTCTCGAGGCATGGTGTCCGCCTCGAGTGCTAGAGGTTCCGGATTCAATTCCCGGTAAAGGCTGGGATTTTGTCACGTGGACTTGGACTTGAAGTAATTTCCCAGGTCTCTGGGTAGTAAAATCAGACGCCCGTGTGCATTGTTGCCCACGTAAAAAATCCCTTGGCAGTTAGAAATCAAAAAGAGTAGCCTAACGGCGCTGCTCGGGCAAAATTTGAAAATCTACCTAAAGTATTTCAGGATTCTCGCCGGTGCTACAGAGCCTGTGCACTGTGCTGAGCTTCTTCGGACTCAGACTTGAGTTAGAAGTAGAACGGAGCACTAATGGGTTACTACCCGTGTACCATGATGTTGTTCCGTTGTTCAAGCCTCAAACCTCACATTAAATGGCCAAACTATTTCAGTTTTTTTTTTTTTTTTCAATGAATGGAATTATATGGCTTTTCTTCTTCTTTTTTTGACATTTCTCAAACATCTCATTTCACAAGTGGCCAGTTTTCTTTCGTTTTCTTTAGTCAATGTCCAAGTCTGTCACTGACAGTGCATGGTTGGTACCCAGCCTGCATTTATAATTATTGTTTTGTTGTGTCATCTATATTGTTAAAATAAGAAAGAATGGAATCATATGTGATCAATATTCTTAAAAAAAATAATGTAATAATGATCAACATTGTTAAAAAAAAACGGGTGGTGTATTAATGTGTGATTAACATTGTTCAAATAAAACATGTAACAAAGTGTGATCAACATTGTTGAAATAATGAATGTAATAATGTGTAATCAACTTTGTCAGCATAAGGAATGCAGAAATGTGAGGTCAACATTGTTTACGAATTTAACACACACAAAAACATTTTTTTTTAAATAAAAAATTATAGTAATGCGTGATTAACATTGTTAAAAACAAGGAATGTAATAATGCGTGATCAACATTTGTAAAATAAGGAATGTAATAAAGTGTAATCATAACTTTTTTTTAAATGTAATAATGTGTGATTAACATTGTTAAATAAAGAATGTAATTGATGTATGATCGATATTTTTTTTATTTTTTTTTTTTTTTTTTTTTTTTTTTTTTTTTTTTTTTTTTTAGGATATGTAATAGTATGTGATCAACATTATTTTCAGAAAAATTTAATAATGTCAGATTACCATTGTTAAAATATCGAATGTAATAATGTATGATCAACGTTGTTTACAAAAATGTAACAATAAGTGATAACGATTGTTTAAAAAACTGTAATAATATGTGATCAACATTGTTTAAATAATAAAGGTAAAAAAAAGTGTGATTAACGTTGTTAAAATAATGAATGTAAAAATGTGTAATCAACACTGTTAAAACAAGGAATGTTAAAATGTGTGAGCAACACTGTTAAAACAAGGAATGTTAAAATATGTGAGCAACACTTTTAAAACAAGGAATGTTAAAATGTGTGATCAACATTGCTTAAATAATGAACGTAAAAAATGTGTGATCAACATTGCTTAAATAATGAACGTAAAAAATGTGTGATCAACACTGTTAAAACAAGGAATGTTAAAATGTGTGAGCAACACTGTTAAAAGAAGGAATGTAAAAATGTTTTTTAACACTACCAAAAAAAAACGAAATGTAATAATGTGTGATCAACACTGTTAAAATAAGGGATGTAATAATGTGTGAGCAACACTTTTAAAACAAGGAATGTTAAAATGTGTGATCAGCATTGTTTAAATAATTAACGTAAAAAATGTGTGATCAACATTGTTAAAATAAGGAATGTAATAGTGTGTGATTAACACTGTTAAAACAAGGAATGTAATAGTGTGTGATCAACACTGTTAAAACAAGGAATGTAATAGTGTGTGACAAACACTGTTAAAACAAGAAATGTAATAATGTGTGATCAACACTGTTAAAACAAGGAATGTAATAATGTGTGATCAACACTTTGAAAACAAGGAATGTAATAATGTGTGATCAACACTTTGAAAACAAGGAATGTAATAATGTGTGATTGAGACGATACGCTCGGTGACTTCAGAATGTCTTTCCTCAACCTACTTTTATTTCTTTGTATTTTGAAAGTATACAGAAAAACAGGGATTTGGATACATCCTTAATCTAAGTAAGACGACCAGATCAAACATTTAATTCTCCTGGACTGTTGGTCATATCAAACACTAAAACTTTTTCCCAGATGTTAAGTGTTAACGTACAGAGATAAGACTGGCCAAGCTTAGACTTACTGTCTGCAGATTTGCACACCATCTGTTGGTATCAGATATTTATCTCCTAGCCAGACTTTTAGGAGCAGATAACTCCGGCTAATTGTGTTTAATTCCCCCTGAGGTTACCTAACTCGAGGGCAGGTCCGACGGTCACTATTGACATGGTGGCAGAAAGTGTTAACAGAAGAATTGACACCGTCTGATTTTATTGTGATGGCAGGTGAAGTAGGCTGGATGTGTGACTTGTCCTATTTTCTCTGGTCAGATGAATTGACCAGGAGATCCTAGCGTGGGAATTTAAACAAGTGTTGTACAGCCCTGACTGACAGCGAATAAAATTACCCACAGGGGAGGAGCTGTGACATCCTAGAATGAGAATGATTTTAGGCGTAATGTAGGCTGAGCTTTTGAGAAGTTATAAAGGGGTGAACTCTAGGTCTGGTAAAAGAGACTCTGTCCAGCACATGCCATCTGTTGGGCTTAACCTAAGCTTGAGACAGAACTTTTGGCATTGTGGTTTCATTTTCCAGGTAAGAACGAAATTAGTTTCAAAACCTTTATTTTATTTATGATTGAGATCTAACTGTCTTTTTACTCAAGTGTGTGTCTTCATCACTTTGTAGTACTCCTAGGCGGACAATTCTTCATTCTCTTAGGGCACTGTCACATTGCTTTATATCCTCTTTGATAGTGTCATGAATGTTTTTCGTGCACATGTGTTTCAATGTTGTAAAACTTAAATGTTGATGTTATCATTGAAATTTAATGAACTATCATGTTTTTGAAATCACAAACGTGAAGATAACTTTGGCAATCTTGTCACGTGTGGTTAATGTTAATCTGTATTACATACAGCTAACACACTGAAATGTGTTTAACTCTCGGGAGGCTAATGCGGAGATTGATCCCGGAGAGTAAATCCATGAGATTTCTTATTTGATTCGCCTCAGAAATATTGTTAGCTTTTTGGGGGCGAAAATTGTTCCAAGCATGGATTCCAGAACTTGTTCTGTCTGACTGATTGTCATTTGAGTCTGTACGAGAGATGACATCAGACGTAGAAGACTTGACTATCATTACAAGACATGTTTAGAGGAAGGCAGAAGATGTAACGGCTGGAATGTGAGACATAAGCCCTTCCAAATTGGACAGGAGTGAATGTGAAAATGAGGGAGAGATGAAATGTTTTATTTAAATAAACATGCTTGATGTTATTATAATATACATGCTTAGTATACACCTAGAGCAGATACTACAGATATGCGCTTGTTTCTTTATCACAGTTCCCACATTGGGCAGGGACTAGTAGGCATCCATTCTTTGCCGACAGTCTGAGTGTAACGATCTGCTTGAAAGCAGTGAGGACGACAAACTGGAAAAGAATAGGCAGGGTCTCAAGCCGAGAACTGTCCAAAGGTTGTTACTTTCCAATACCTTTATGATTTCATTATTCACATCACCTTAACTCTACTAGCCTAAACAAGTTCATTTTAATTTCGATTTATTCAAATAAATCATGGTGGATGTTGTTACAAAATAGTTGAGTAAATTGTGTACTTAGGTTCAAGTGTCTTTGTGCATATTAGTTTACTTCAGCTAACAAATATTTAAATCACTTGATGGGGGCTTTTAAGTAATGCCAGGAGAGGAGAAAAGTCGGAGGGGTTAACTGTGTATCTGGATTATATCACAGTGGGTGTATCCAGATATCTATCTATCCCTTCTCCTACTCCTGTGGATACAAGTACAGCAACTTTCATTTCATGGAACGAGCCACTCGCTGTTTTCTTGGCTATCCAGGACTGTCTAGGATCAACATAGCTTAGATATTAGTCCAGTTTCTCACGTAGGTGGGCATTGTTAAGGTTCAAACCCACACCCTCACTATATCAGTGTATTTACCCACGTGGGCGCGCGACAGTGATCAACACTGTTAAAACAAGGAATGTAATAATGTGTGATCAACACTGTTAAAACAAGGAATGTAATAATGTGTGATCAACACTTTGAAAACAAGGAATGTAATAATGTGTGATCAACACTGTTAAAACGAGGAATCTAATAGTGTGTGATCAACACTGTTAAAACAAGGAATGTAATAGTGTGTGATCAACACTGTTAAAACAAGGAATTTAATAGTGTGTGATCAACACTGTTAAAACAAGGAATGTAATAGTGTGTGATCAACACTCTTAAAACAAGGAATGTAATAGTGTGTGATCAACACTGTTAAAACAAGGAATTTAATAGTGTGTGATCAACACTCTTAAAACAAGGAATGTAATAGTGTGTGATCAACACTGTTAAAACAAGGAATGTAATAGTGTGTGATCAACACTCTTAAAACAAGGAATGTAATAGTGTGTGATCAACACTGTTAAAACAAGGAATGTAATAGTGTGTGATCAACACTGTTAAAACAAGGAATGTAATAGTGTGTGATCAACACTGTTAAAACAAGGAATGTAATAGTGTGTGATCAACACTCTTAAAACAAGGAATTTAATAGTGTGTGATCAACACTGTTAAAACAAGGAATGTAATAGTGTGTGATCAACACTCTTAAAACAAGGAATGTAATAGTGTGTGATCAACACTGTTAAAACAAGGAATTTAATAGTGTGTGATCAACACTCTTAAAACAAGGAATGTAATAGTGTGTGATCAACACTGTTAAAACAAGGAATGTAATAGTGTGTGATCAACACTCTTAAAACAAGGTATGTAATAGTGTGTGATCAACACTGTTAAAACAAGGAATTTAATAGTGTGTGATCAACACTCTTAAAACAAGGAATGTAATAGTGTGTGATCAACACTGTTAAAACAAGGAATGTAATAGTGTGTGATCAACACTCTTAAAACAAGGAATGTAATAGTGTGTGATCAACACTCTTAAAACAAGGAATGTAATAGTGTGTGATCAACACTGTTAAAACAAGGTATGTAATAGTGTGTGATCAACACTGTTAAAACAAGGAATTTAATAGTGTGTGATCAACACTCTTAAAACAAGGAATGTAATAGTGTGTGATCAACACTGTTAAAACAAGGAATGTAATAGTGTGTGACCAACACTCTTAAAACAAGGAATGTAATAGTGTGTGATCAACACTGTTAAAACAAGGAATTTAATAGTGTGTGATCAACACTGTTAAAACAAGGAATGTAATAGTGTGTGATCAACACTCTTAAAACAAGGAATGTAATAGTGTGTGATCAACACTCTTAAAACAAGGAATGTAATAGTGTGTGATCAACACTGTTAAAACAAGGAATGTAATAGTGTGTGATCAACACTGTTAAAACAAGGAATGTAATAGTGTGTGATCAACACTGTTAAAAACAAGGAATGTAATAGTGTGTGATCAACACTGTTAAAACAAGGAATGTAATAGTGTGTGATCAACACTGTTAAAACAAGGAATGTAATAGTGTGTGATCAACACTGTTAAAACAAGGAATGTAATAGTGTGTGATCAACACTGTTAAAACAAGGAATGTAATAGTGTGTGATCAACACTGTTAAAACAAGGTATGTAATAGTGTGTGATCAACACTGTTAAAACAAGGAATGTAATAATGTGTGATCAACACTGTTAAAACAAGGAATGTAATAATGTGTGATCAACACTGTTAAAACAAGGAATGTAATAGTGTGTGATCAACACTGTTAAAACAAGGAATGTAATAATGTGTGATCAACACTGTTAAAACAAGGTATGTAATAGTGTGTGATCAACACTGTTAAAACAAGGTATGTAATAGTGTGTGATCAACACTGTTAAAACAAGAAATGTAATAGTGTGTGATCAACACTGTTAAAACAAGGAATTTAATAATGTGTGATCAACACTGTTAAAACAAGGAATGTAATAGTGTGTGATCAACAGTGTTAAAACAAGGAATGTAATAATGTGTGATCAACACTGCTAAAACAAGGAACCTAATCGCGAAAACCAACCTTAACCAGCGCTTGGTCGTTGGTCCTGGTGAAAAATATTTCTGGGTCGTGCGGGAAGGCTCTAGACGTGGCAACGAAGAACGGGAATGCAATGGCACATTTCTCGCAGGCTGTTGGAAACACAGATAAACTTGTATTAACTCTTTACGTACTTGGCGACTCACTGTGCTTGTCTCCTGTGAAGTTGGTGTACAGCTGCCAGCGGTACGAGGAATTAAATTGTCTGCATATAACTAAGTCAGGTCTGTAAAACGGATGTGCACACACAACTCACGTTATGGAACAGGACTAAGATCCAGCAGGACAGGCACAACCAGATGATTCCGTCGAAGTTTACAGACGAACGTGACGACGGTGATGAGGATGTTGATGACGATGGTGATGATGATGATGATGATGTTGATGATAATGACGATTACAATGATGATGATGATGATAATGACGATTACAATGATGATGATGATGATGATGATGATGATGTTGATAATGATGATGATGATGTTGATAATGCTGATGATGATGATGATGAATATGATGACCATATTTGTTTTAGTGACTCTACACCAGTGAAGAGCAATAGAAGTTACCGGTAATATAAGGCCAACATTGACGACTGTTGGTTATTTCCTAAACAATATGAGGCCCCCCATGTCTGGATTCTGTTGACCGACAAAGATAGAAAGGGTACGGCCATCTAGTGAGAATGCAACTAGACCAAACTGCCTACGAAACTTTTCACAGCAGAACATCGGGGAGGAAGTAAACCAAGAAAGAAAAGGATAAATGGCGTTGTTGAAACCTGCAAAATGATTTTTTTAAAACCCATCACCCAAGCCACCTGAGAAGCGCAAGACAAAAACAGAAAACCACAAAACTGGGCTACAACCTGGTATCAGTGAGACGACCAAAGAAGAAGAAGAAGAAGAAGAAGAAGAAGAAGAAGAAGAAGAAGAAGAAGAAGAAGAAGAAGAAGAAGAAGAAGAAGAAGAAGAAGAAGAAGAAGAAGAAGAAGAAGAAGAAGAAAAAGAAAGAAGCAGAATTTGAGCGACTCGTCGTGGTGTAGCGGCTAGACGCTGGCCCGCGGATATGAAGGACTTGGGTTCAGGTCATGACGGACAAAATGATCTTAACCCCAGATCGACCCAGCCTCAAATATGCGTCTGGTAAAGTCCTGCGAAGTAAAGACGGACGGCGTGATGTTGACCATACAACCCATCGAATGCCGATTGGTCTCAACAAAGATAGATCTAGCCTTATTCTCCTGAAAGCGTGAAATAGTATCCTTTTTTTTGTTTCGGTGGGTTTTTTTTTTTTTTTTTTTTTTTTTTTTTGCCGTAATAAAACCATTGTATACGCTGCCCTGCCTAATCGATTGTTTTGCCGTAGTAAAACCGTTGTATACGCTGCACAGCCTAATCGATTGTTTTGCCGTAGTAAAACCGTTGTATACGCTGCACTGCCTAATCGATTGTTTTGCCGTAGTAAAACCGTTGTATACGCTGCACTGCCTAATCGATTGTTTTGCCGTAGTAAAACCGTTGTATACGCTGCACTGCCTAATCGATTGTTTTGCCGTAGTAAAACCGTTGTATACGCTGCACTGCCTAATCGATTGTTTTGCCGTAGTAAAACCGTTGTATACGCTGCACTGCCTAATCGATTGTTTTGCCGTAGTAAAACCGTTGTATACGCTGCACTGCCTAATCGATTGTTTCGCCGTAGTAAAACCGTTGTATACGCTGCACTGCCTAATCGATTGTTTTGCCGTAGTAAAACCGTTGTGTACGCTGCACTGCCTAATCGATTGTTTTGCCGTAGTAAAACCGTTGTATACGCTGCACTGCCTAATCGATTGTTTTGCCGTAGTAAAACCGTTGTATACGCTGCACAGCCTAATCGATTGTTTTGCCGTAAAAAAACCATTGTATACGCTGCACTGCCTAATCGATTGTTTTGCCGTAGTAAAACCGTTGTATACGCTGCACAGCCTAATCGATTGTTTTGCCGTAGTAAAACCGTTGTATACGCTGCACAGCCTAATCGATTGTTTTGCCGTATTAAAACAGGTGTATACGCTGCACAGCCTAATCGATTGACAGTTAGTGACTTAAGGAGCTTGATTCGGTGGCAAGTCAACCATTAGCAAATTCCGTTTATCAGTATAAACAGTTTATGCTGCATTAATTAAAGATGGCCGGTCCATGTAGATATTGTCAAAGCCCTTAGAGGGATAGGACGTTCTGCGGTTTTTAGAAGCAGCAAGTCCACATCACTGCTAAGAATACAAGAACTGGGAGTAAGCATGAGAAGCACACCGGACGCACACGAAGTCTTGTTAATCAACATAAAACGGGCACTATTACCCGCGCGACGCTGATGAATATGTTGAGAGGGGAATCTGAGCGCCCCTGGATGTGTCCGGAGTGCTGAGAAGATAATCTAACTCATACCTCAAACAGTTACTTTAGTACAAACTATCTCACCAAGTGTGTCGTATGTGGGTTGGGTATAATCTCACTAACTAAACTAACTTAAACGCATCATCATAGCCTGTTTTCCACAGAGGCTGCTAATTGAAAGTTTTGATGATCCCTGAGGCTTCGAAAATATCATCCCAAATGGAAATTAACAGTGAAAATCGTATTTGAAATTCATCACATGAGGGTATGTTTTTTTTTTTTTTTTTTTTTTTTTTTGTATTTACCTTGGAATCCGTGTCCACCCAGACTAAAATGTGTAGCAGGAATTGCAATGAGAAGTAAATGCAGCCAGTGAAAACGTTTACCACATCACCCATCGAGTACCCGTACTACTTACTACTACTTCTACCACCACCAGCACCACAATAACTCAAAAAGCTGTAACTACTGTCTGTTTAACCAACAATTTAGGTCGATGTACACAGGTTTGTGAGAATGGGGATTTAGGGCCGCAGAGCTAGTGCTGTCGTCACAGACTGTTCAGGCAAAGATGATTAATTTGGCCCCGAAGAGAAAAACGCCATCACCTAACTGGGGATCGAACCCGGGTCTCCCGCATGAAAGCCCGACTGTGTAACCACTCGGCTAACTACAACAACTACTACTATTCTGCTACTATTGTCACTCCTGCCACTATGAGAGGATTAATCCTGCGAGCAAGGCGGTTACAGTAACTTCCCCTACATGGGCTGAGGTGACGTCATTAGGGTCCAGTGAGATGCATATCGCGAAGAAGATCGTGTCGAGGGTTATGGGTATGGCAGTGCAGCCTGGAGCAGCCATACAATAGTATTTTACTAAGGGCAAGAGTCGCCTGATTAATCACTGCAGAACGGGCGTCATTGGTGGCATTGCGCTGGTCGAACTATCGGGGAAAATATCTGAGAACATCTGAAACTGTCTGGAACGCCGCGGTGATAGTCCTTACTAATCACTGGTCTTTCATTCCCATATCATTTCATTCCCATATCTTTTCATTCCAATATCATTTCATTCCCATATGTTTTCATTCCCATATCATTTCGTTCGCATATCATTTCATTCCCATATCTTTTCATTTCCATCTCATGTGATTCCCATATCTTTTCATTCCCATATTATTTAATTTCCATTCAAACTTTCAACAACTCTCTTGTTATCCCCACAACTTTTAATTACAACTTGTTTTGCTTAAACATCTGTTTTACAAATCTAGCTTATCTGGACGTTTCCTCCCAAATCATGTAGGTGTACTCCGATTCCCAAAGGGAAAAAACCCTGATTAGTTACCCTTAACTACATAATTGTTAGGGGGACACTAGGTTTAAAATCCCCCCCTCCCCCCCACAACACTTTCCTGTCAAATAAGACCCCGATGCCCACACGGTCGAACGATCTGGCAACGCAGGTAAGTCAAAACATGTCTGTTTTGTATTTTTATTTTCTGTTAACAACAGTCTCATAATTCACTGCAACAAAAAGTGAATATCTCCATCATCGATTTAAATACATTTCCTAATCCCCGCACCCCCCTCCCCCATTTCCACCCCTGTGGGTGGGTGGGGTGGAGGCATATATTCCTACCTCTAGTCCCCCCACCCCACTCACCTCTACCCCCCGACCCAAATCCCGCAATCCCTAAAGACAACAAGAAGTATTCCAAATGTCGGGCTTTTAAATGGAAAATCAAGGTTTAATCAAGTCAACCAAACTGGCAGATAATCCTAGGTAAATATAAAAATGCACAACAGGTATCAATAAAATGCCATGAGGAAAAATATGGTAGGTTAAAAAAAAAAAACCTGTTGGTGAACAGAGAGGCGGTAAAGAGGTGAATAAAATGAACATCAAACAAAGAATCTAAGAAACAACAAAAAAAGGCAAATTTAAGTCCAATGGCATAGGTTTCGAGTTAAGAATAAATCAAATGCAGATGGATAAAATAAGATAACATATCATTTAGATGAATATGGGGGGAAAGGGGGAGCAAACACAAAACAACAAAAAAGACACACATGAAAAGACACAAATACGCAGGAATTTGAAAAAAAAAACACATTTTTTTTTTTTAATTGTTTTTTATAAACACGGGACACAACAAAAAGAGATACAGACAGGAGCATTTGAAAAAGGAAAGAGAAAAATAGACAGAAGAGTAGAGACAACAACAAAGCAATATAAATTGCAAATTTTAAGAAAATCTGACTGGTTTACAGAAAGAAAGAAAGAAAGAAAGAAAGAAAGAAAGAAAGAAAGAAAGAAAGAAAGAAAGAAAGAAAGAAAGAAAGAAAGAAAGAAAGAAAGAAAAGAAAGAAAGAAAGAAGAAAGAAAGAAAAGAAAGAAAGAAAGAAAGAAAGAAAAGAAAGAAAGAAAGAAAGAAAAGAAAGAAAGAAAGAAAGAAAGAAAGAAAGAAAAGAATGAAAGAAAATGAAAGAAAGAAATAAAAGAATGAAAGAAAGAAAGAAAGAAAGAAAGAAAGAAAGAAAGAAAGAAAGAAAGAAAGAAAGAAAGAAAGAAAAGAAAAGAAAGAAAGAAAGAAAGAAAGAAAGAAAGAAAGAAAGAAAGAAAGAAAGAAAGAAGAAAGAAAGAAAGAAAGAAAGAAAGATGGAAAGAAAGAAAGAAAGAAAGAAAGAAAGAAAGAAAGAAAGAAAGAAAGAAAGAAAGAAAGAAAGAAAGAAAGAAAAAAAAGAAAAAGAAAGAAAAGAAAGAAAGAAAAAAAAAAAGAAAGAAAGAAAGAAAGAAAGAAAGAAAGAAGAAAAAGAAAAGAAAGAAAGAAAGAAAGAAAGAAAGAAAGAAAAAAGAAAGAAAGAAAGAAAAGAAAGAAAGAAAGAAAGAAAGAAAGAAAGAAAGAAAGAAAGAAAGAAAGAAAGAAAGAAAGAAAGAAAGAAAGAAAGAAAGAAAGAAAGAAAGAAAGAAAGAAAGAAAGAAAGAAAGAAAGAAAGAAAGAAAGACACTAAAGAACTTGACACAAAGAAAGCTTTCACGTAAAAACCTCCAGTGCAGAGGCAGGTAGGATGCAAAGAGGATAAGGTAGGGGTGAGGAGAAAAACAGGTAGAAATTCGACGGCTGTGAGAAAGATGGAGGGGAAACCAGAGAAGGGGCGCAGGGGCGCAGCTAACCAATTAGTTAGACTGACATAGAATCCTTTTTTTTTTTTCTTCTTTTACCAAGGAGCAAGATGGATTCCAGCAATCTCTCTCTCTCTCTCTCTCTCTCTCTCTCTCTCTCTCTCTCTCTCTCTCTCTCTTTCTCTCTGTTTTTTTCTCTCTCCATTTTCTCCATTTCTTTCGTCTCACTCTAGTTCTCCCACCTTTCTCCATATCCCTATATATGTCTCTCCGTCTTCCTCTTTCTCTGTGTTAGGAATATGTTATTTTCCAGTAGATTTATTAAGACTACACTGGTTTGCTGTGGTTGTAATTGTCATTCAATCACAATCCACTGCATGTATTCAATATCTGGATACTGCTAAAAATGTTGCTATTGCTTGTTAACATATGTATGAATGAAATGATGTTTGAAAGGAGGGATTTTAGAAGGGCAGAATGTTAGACGGGCCTTAGGCCTCTTTCTTAACTCTTTATAGGAGAAAAAATGTTTGTTCGTTCTTTCGTTCTAATAATCGGCCTCTCTGGAGCAACATGTTTCACCTTCACTTTCTTTATCTCTGCTTCTTTCTGTTTACCTAATATCCCTCTCTCTCTCTCTCTATATATATATATACTATATATATATATATATATATATATATATATATATATATATATATATATTATATATATATATATATATATATATATCTCTGTCTGTCTCTCTCTGTCTATCTCTCTCTGTCTATCTCTCTCTGTTTATCTCTCTACCTCACTCTCTCGCTCTTTCTATTTCTCTCTCTCTGTCTATCTCTATCTCTGTCTCTCTCTCTCTCTCTCGCTCTGTCTCTCTCTGTCTATCTCTCTTTGTCCATTTCTCTCTCTGTCTATCTCTTTCTGTCTATCTCTCTCTGTCCCTTTCTCTCTCTCTCTGTGTGTCTCTCTCTATCTCTCTATATCTCTGTCTCTGTCTCTCTCACTCTCTCTCTCTCGCTCTCGCTCTCTCACTGATTACCTTTCATTATAAATAAAATACAGTATCTAAATGTCTACGTCACACATGACTGGTTAGAACATCCGAAGGTTGATTGATGTTTCACCCCACAAGGACATCACACAAGCGATAAGCACCCGGTGACACAAATGCCATTATGCGGATGAGGATCACACGTGGAGAGGCTCTAGAAACCCCGTTCATCCTATAGGTTGGGTTACTTTAGGGCCCGGCAACAACCGAGGTGGGGGCTTTAAAGTAACGAAAAACTGCGTTCCAAAGAAACATACAAATCATCTAGCAATAACATATTAGGAACCAGGAAACAACACCACAAAGAATGGATAAGTAGTCAAACCATGGACTATATTGCCAAGCGAAAAAGAATAAAGAGCCTCATAAATCACACTAAATTAGAACGTCAGAAAGACAAACTAATGTTAGAATATAGCGAACTAAATAAAATGACCAAGAAAAGCTGACAAGAGAATATTTATGGAAAATCTTGCAAAAACAGCAGAAAATGCTGCTAAAGCACATGATCTACAAACCCTACACAAAATTACCCAGCAAATTTGCGGAAACAGAAACAATTATCACAGCATACCCATCAGAGATAACCAAGGCAGACTGCTCACCACAGAACAAAAACAAGACATGCAGTGGACTAAACACTTCTCCGACGTCTTGAACAGACCTGATCCTGAAAATCCCCCAGATATTCAACCAGCCTCTCAGGACATTGACATTATTACTGAACCACCAAGTAAACAAGAAATCCTTAAAGCTATCCACACTTTAAAAAACAACAAAGCACCAGGCAAAGACGAACTGCCAGCAGAACTTCTCAAAGTAGATCCCAACACAACTGCTAGCATTCTAGAACCATTGTTCAAGGATATTTGGGAAAAAGAAGTGTTGCCTGATGACTGGACTGAAGAAACAATAGTCAAAATCCCCCAAAAAGGAGACTTAACAGACTGCAATAATTGGAGGGGAATTACTCTACTCTCAGTACCAAGCATAATATTTTGTAAAATCATCATAATGCGGTTTGAAAAAGGAGTAGATAAATGCCTACGAGTGGAACAAGCAGGATTCAGAAATGGCAGAGGAACAACTGAGCACATCTTCGCCATACGTAACATTTTAGAACAATGCAACGAATGGCAGAGAAGTATATATATTGTGGACTTTGAGAAAGCTTTTGACAGCGTCCATAGAGACGGTCTGTGGAAAATTTTACGACATTATGGAATTCCAGAAAAAATAGTCAACATAATTGCTCTCTTCTATAAAGACTTTTCCTGCAGTATAAAAAATTACAATACATATTTCCCAGTAAAGACGGGTGTAAGACAGGGATGTGTTATATCATCTCTCCTCTTCAACCTTGTGATTGATTGGATACTAAAGAACACAGTAGACTGGACATTAAGAGGCATACGATGGACTCCATTCACCATGCTTGAGAACCTTGATTTTGCAGATGATATAGCACTCCTATCACATAAACATGAACATATACAAGAGAAAAGTAACAGACTAAACTGCACAGCAGAAATGATGGGACTGAGAATAAATACAAAGAAAACTAACATTATGACAAACAGTCCAAACCAACAACCAGTGACCATAAATAACCAATCACTTGAAAATGTAGAACATTTCACATATCTTGGCAGTGTGGTGTCCTACTGGGGGAGGGGGGGGGGCAGAGGAAGACATACAGTCACGTCTGAACAAAGCTAGAGCCGCTTCTGGAAGGATGAGGCATAACGAGAACTGATGATGATAGTGGAACGGTAGGACGGTAGGTTACACCCGAGGGTAAAAACGGAGTCAGTATATCTATAACCTAGTACAAAAAAATATATTTCCCTCGCTCCTTCATTCCTTCCTCCTCTTCTTACTCTAACGTCTGATAATTCCCTCCAAAATTCCACTGGAGATTTTAAATTCCGTTATCTGACTAAACACACGAGATGTGTCTGCTTTTCGTCTGGAGCCCGGGTGGATAAGTGCGCATGTCTGTGTTTTCATACTTCCTCTAAATATTGAAGCATTATTTCCCCTTTGACATCCTTGGCAACAGTAACAACTCTCGGATTTCATAATTTTTATCAGATAAATTCCCGCAAACATGTCATGCTTTCAATGCTCTCAGTCAACAAAAGGATAAATCACAAATGCTAAAATTTTATGAGTGCATGATTTGTTAAATGTATCAGCCATAAGAGATAAGAGAACATAGTTATGATGTATACATTCGTCCTGAACCTTGATCGATTTCTTAAAGTTGTTGTAGTTGTTGTTGATGTTGTTGTTCTTCTTCTTATTATTCTTGTTGTTGTTGTTGTTGTTGTTGTTGTTCTTCTTCTTCTTCTTCTTCTTCTTCTTCTTCTTCTTCTTCTTCTTTTTCTTCCTCTGCTTCTTCTTCTTCTTCTTCTTCCTCTGCTTCTTCTTCTTCTTCTTCTTCTTCTTCTTCTTCTTCTTCTTTTTCTTCTTCCTCCTCTTCTTCTTCTTCTTTTTCTACTTCTGATTTTTCTTTAAAAAGCGTAATAATTTGATACTGAATTGTAAAATTATAATAATAATAATAACTGTATATTTTTAATACTATGAAATGTATAAAATATTACATTTTAAAGAGAATTAATATGCGTGGACAGAGAGGGCTGTTTGGCCTATTTAGAGAATTACTTTGGGGTGGAGGTCACGCCTGTGAAGGGGTATGGGCCTCCATGTTTTGGCGCTTATGGTTTAGGGGCCGTTGTCATATGGCAGTGTCATGGACCTAAAAACAGTGACAACACTGACAATGACTTCAGATGTTATACCTCATATGTTACCGCTCCCACTTTCATGATTATGGATTCTAAACTTTGCCCATGTCGACAGGCGCCACAGTGTGCTAACGGTGTGCTACAGATATACTCTTTCTATGCAGTAGAGAGATCTCAGATTAGGTCTGTTGGCATACCACCGGACACCAGGCTATAAGAGACAGGGAAGGCATGCCTTTGTTCTTTATCAATATCCTACCCAAAATGACGTCACAGGAGAGTCCAACATTTTAGTGGGTGGTGAGACTGAGTTTTCCGGCTTTCTGATGCTTTGAACGACCCCAAATCATCTAGAACTGGCACTAACCGCTACCCATCTACGTCCCACGAAAGAGTGTAGCCTAGGTCCCACGACTGCATGCAGCCTATCTATCATTATCAATCTATCCTGTGACCTGTGGATTTCCCCTGTTTGGGGTAGGATATTGATAAACCACCCGAGCCTAGCACCAGACTTCGTAGAGGTCAATGGCTTCTCTTCTGAAAAGTCACTGGCAAGGAGAACGAGAAATAAAAGAAGAAGAAAATATATCAAACTTACATGTTGAGCCCACGAATGTCAAAGTAAAAAACTTCCCTTGTATAAACTGAAACAGAAGAAAGAAATATCATTTGTTATTTTCTATTGTTCTACAAGGTACTTGAAGATGATGTTGAATTTAATAAGACAACAAATCACAAATCTTGAGAACGAGTGTCAAGCTGCAGGTTCTTTGCAGAACGTCGCTCTCCTTAAAGCTCTGTAGTCGCAACGGTCACTTTTCGTGTGTAAGTAAAGGTCCCTTTTCCACGCCTTTAGGCGTATAGGGCATATAGGGCTGGACCTATATTTTTAAAGACCAATCAGCACAAGATGGGGGATGTGGTCAGCATCACGCCGGCTGCATTTACCTCCCAAGACTTCACCAAGTACCCACTCAAGCTGGGTCGACCTGGGAGTCACGGTCATTTTTGAAAATGTCCGGCTCTGCTAGGGAGCGAACCCACGACCCTCCAATTCAGACGCAAGCGTCTATCCGCTGCGCCACGGCTACTACTTTTCGTGTGTGCTTGTTATATTGTCAAGCTCGCTGGTCTACTTTTTTTCAGTTTTATTACTCTCGTGAAGGTACTCATGAAAGTCTCTCTTTCTTAAGCCAATGCTCCAATAATGTCCGTCATCTCCCTTCTGGGGTGCAATTTTTCGTTATTTTGAAGCCACATACTGGTTTTTGCCGGGGGCCGCAATATAACCTAACAGTTGAAAGCGGTTTTCAGGACCTCTCCGCGGCTGATCCCCAAACGCATCGTGGCACTTTATGTCACCAGGTGTTTATCCCTTTGTGGTATGTCCTGGTGGGGTAAAACAGACTTACTTACTCCAACCCCATACTCTCTGTCTCCATGTGGGACTAATTTTGCGTTATTTTGATGCCCTATCCTGGTTGTTGCCGGGGGTTCTAATATAAGCGTTATTTTGATGCCCTACCCTGGTTGTTGCCGGGGGCCCTAATATAACCTAACAGTTGAATCTCATCCCCATGGTGGCACCAGGACATCACACAAGCGATAAACACCCGATGACACAAAGTGCCACCATGCGGATGAGGATCACCGTGGCGAGGTCCCAGAAACCGCGTTCAGACAATTGGCCATATTTTATGGCCTGCCTATATTGCGGCCCCTGGCAAAAGCTAGGGTGGGGCTTCATATAACAAAAAAAATTTCATCCTAAAAAGGACAAAAATTGATTATAATAATCAATCGTTGGTGAAATCTGCTCTCTCCATGCTTTTTCCCACAATCCTTAGTGCAGTGCTTGCCAGTTGGTCCGCTCGCTTATTTTCCTTTACGCCCACATGACCAGGTGTGTAGATCCACGAGGTTCGACGCCATTAATATAAATACATAAAATTACGTCTTTCTGTGTGTTTGCCTGTATGTTTATCTGTCTGTATGTATTTAGGTATTCATGACACAACACTTTAAAACGTCATCTATTTATACCGGAGATAACTGCATAAATATTTCTCTGCTGGCATAAGTAAAGAGAGTTGCATACCCTGTACAATACGTTGCACAATCAACCCTAGCCTTTTTCTGTTTCTTTTTTTTTCTATTACGCAATTTTACGCCTAGTTGTTTGCTTTTGCCACTCAACGGTCGACTCTCTATATCATTGTTGAACTCAACACAAGACGGTCTGCTGTCAAACAGCCTGCAGCTGAGCTCGAAATGGATACATAAGAATTAAAACGCGTGGAAAACGACTCGGACACAAAGGCCGATAATAAGTTGATATCAATTGCTTCCTCTAAATCAGCTGTTCTCAACTTGTGAGTCTCGACCCCTTTGTGGATTGAACAATACTTCCACAGGGGTAGCCTAAGACCATCGGAAAACACATATTCACTGAAGTTAGGAAGTATCAACGAAAATAATGTTATGTTTGGAGGGCCAACACAACATGGCGAACTGTATGAAAGGGTCGCAGCGTTAGGAAGGTTGACAACCACTGCTTTTAATGGCATAATCCTAACTTCAATACCGGATTTTCCCCAAAAAATATCACACGGCCATATAATCAATTTTGCTGCAAATGAGTCATTGAGACTTATTTTCAGTCGATTTTTTTTTTAACGAAAAGCTACATTTATTTAAATAACAAAATAGACATCTATTCACTCTTACAGAAAAAAAAAGATCTTCTGTGAAGGCATCACGTTTTTTTTTTTTCGGTAACGTTGCAGAACCAACCCTAACAGCCCCTGGCTGTTGTGTGGTTTCTCTAGGCAAATTTACGTCCAGTAGTTTGCCACTGCTTATAGACGGTCGGCTTTTTTTATACCACTGTCAAAACCAACCCAAGGCGCATTGCCTGCAGCTGGGATCGAACTTGGCATCCCGGCATTGCCAATTTTTCGGTAATAAGTCCTAAATAATTGCTGCAGATCTCACATAGTGCCTGATAAGTCATGCTGCTGTTTATTTTCGTGTCAGGTCTCGGCGAAACTTCATCCGCGACAGGGTGGGTCATTGGCTGTCCGGTAGACGACTTCGTCGTTGGTTTGGGACAGTATTTAGGTCTGTCTCCTTTGAATGCATCAACACTACAGGAGTCCTCTTGCTTGGTGCGCGAGTAATGCTAAGCCATTTTATATGGCACAAATAACCTAGTCACAATTACAACCTAAAGCGTCCCATTCGGAGATGCTAATTTAACGTGATATTTTTTTTTTTAATTAGTAAAATAATGTAGGAAGGACGGGAACATACGGTAGTTATACAGGAGTAGGCAGCCTGTCAGTCCTGTGGTCGTTTGTTGAAATCCTTGTACCGGCTACCATTTTAATTCCCCTCATTCGTTACCAATGGATCCGGATGGCGCTTAATACTCAAGGGAAAGGGACGACGGAATTACATTCAGGAGGTTTACTGGTACTGATGTGTCTGGGTTCACAATAGCAAGGCCTGTTGAAACATTGTAGTGTGGTAACCTGAGGACAGGTTACATGCCACCTTGAAGATAAAAGTATTTTACAAGCAGCCGACATTTTCCCAAGATTTGTTACAATTACAGTGGTTTATTGTGGCCTGAAATATAGGTGTAATTCTGGCATAATTCTGGCAAATTCTAGAGCATGTATTTAAAATTTGGCCGCTGTTTATAATACTTAATATTACTTGTGAACAGGTGATTGAATGAAATGATGTATGAATGAAGTGATGTGTGAAAGGACACAATGATAGACAGGCGTGCGTGCCCTAAACCTAACCCTTTGAAAAAAACATCAGTAACAGAAGAAGCAGAAGAAGAAGAAGAAAAAGAAGAAGAAGAAGAAGAAGAAGAAGAAGAAGAAGAAGAAAAGAAGAAGAAAAAGAAGATAAAGAAGAAGAAGAAGAAGAAGAAGAAGAAGAAGAAGAAGAAGAAGAAGAAGAAGAAGAAGACGAAGAAGATAAGAAGAAGAAGGAAAAGAATGTGGTACTAATAATAACGACGACAACAGCAATGATGATGATGTGGACGATGATAAAAACTATATATACACACACACACACACACACACACACACACACACACGAGTAGATATTACCTTGGCAAAGTTGTCCTTGTTGAGTTCATGAACAATACCTTGGCCGTTGCCAACAAACAATGACAGCAGGAACGCAACACAGGGGGCGACAATCCACTTCCGGGGCACGGCTGCCATATTTATCTCCGCGTGCCACACAAGCTAATTTTGATTAATGTTATCTTCACAATAAAATTCCGACGACAGCGCGAGTACAGTTAGTTCACGAGTCCACTGGCGCTTCAGTAGATAGGTCTGAGAAAGCTAACTTAGATTAATAAAAGAGTATGACAGTGCATGACAACGCAGGTTTCAAACAAAGTCTGAAATGTTTGAAAATTAAAATCAATGTATTTGTATGTGTGCCTTTGTACATAAAAACTTAGGAACCCACCCCCATCCCTTTAAACACCCTGACTCTTCATCCTTAAAACAATTATGAGGAGGATGCGCGACACCCTCCCCCCCCCCACCCTTCTCTCTCTCTCTCTTTCTCTCTTCTCGTGTCCGCCCTACCCCAGCCCTTATGTATTGAAGTTCTCTTTTTAAGTATTTATTTACTTATTTCTATTCTTCTTCTGAAAGTCACAGCCGTGTGGTGTTAGTCTTCACGTCTATCCACTATATTTCATATTATTTCAAGTAAATTATTATTCTTATTTGCTATAATCTGCATTATTATTTTTTTTCAGCTCTCTATTATTGACCTCCTTCTCCTACCCAAGCAGCGTCTTTGTGTCGGCACACCTGAAGATTAAGCACCACAGAGACCCTCCTTGGAACAAGAAGAAAACACACATATCCTGATTATCCTCTTCAGAGGGTTCTACTTAGGTTCGGTCCACCCTGTAGGTTCCGGGGCCATATTCTGAGTCAAAAATAGACTTACTGCCCATAAAAAGCATGGCTTAAAAGTCCACTAATTATGGGTGTCTCCTTTGAAGACTAACTGCATTTGCCTGAAAGGCGAGGAACTAACGGTCTGCATACAAATACGACTCATCTGTAAAACGGATCTACATGCAACACATAAATTCTGGTACAAGACTAAAGTCCAGAAGTAAGGGAACAATCAGGACCTTTCTGCCAGAGACGCCACGAAACTCCAAGCACAAACACTTAAAACCGTTTGACTGAAATAAGTTCACGATATTTCAAACTTGTAGTTTACACGAGTTTAGGCCTCTAGAACACGCACGTTTTACACTTTTTTGTCTCTTTTTGAACTTCCTAATTATAATTTTTAATTTGAAGATTTCGTCGGGTCCAGTAAACCGGTAGTGGATTAAAATACCCACCAAATCCTGCTCTAAATATCAGATATCTTAGTCGAACTTGGATGAAGATATCATTAGAATAGTGCAAAAGCGCCTGTAGTAAGAGTTATTAAAAAACGACTAAAATTGGTTGGCCACGTGGTCAGAATGAGCCCAGCGACACCTGTTGCAAGAGCATACATCATGAGAATGGAAACATCAGGAGGCGGGAGAAGGCTATGAAGAATATGAAAGATGGAGTTAACAACTTGCTAAAACTCAACAATATCACCGTGCAACAACCTAATGAGCCCGCACTATACCGGAAACCGATCGTTAGCCGTGCTTACAACACCGAACGGCATTTAGCAGAGAAAGACAATTGATAGATACAATATGCAGATTCACAATGTTATAAATAATTTAACAAGCCAAAATACTAGCTAGACAAACTCTTAGTTTGTACATTCACATTCCAAGACAAACTGTTTTACCTACACATCATCACATGTATATTACTAACACACGTCGAATCTCAAGTTTTGTTAAACTGAAACGTGTACCGATAGGGTTGTTCTATCGATACGCACACAACCCTACGTGTTTTAGCATGGCCGATCGATAGATCAAAGCTGTGCATCTTACTACCAACGATTTCAAAGATTAGAAAAGTTTGGATTTCAAACATGGCGGCTAAGACACGTGTTACCAGCTGCTGCCATCTTTGCCACGTGACTGATGTATGTAGTTTTGTTTAGTCTTGCGTTAAATCAGGTTACAAAAGTAGTCGAATCTTTGCTACAGCGTGGACAACATCGATCCGTTGCGGTTATTGAAATTTATACGTGTGTTTATAGTATCATTGTAGGACGGACTGTTCTACACGACTCAAACAACTGGCAAAAGACAGTGGGTCTTTCTCTCTTATTTCAGTTACCTCATAAAATATTATATTGGGGGAGGGGGTGGTGTGTGTGTGTGTGTGTGTGTTTGTGTGTGTGATGTATAGATGTTCTGTGTGTTCTTTCTAAAGCGTTAACTAAGTAATGTAATATCGTGAAAAGAAAACAAACCCAAAGAAAAGTAGTACAAGTAAACTTCACATTACTACAAACACAAACGACAAATGAATGTTGGGAAGAGCGGAACTTTCATCCGGGCAACGTGTTCACAATGAGTGGTCACACCCAGACATGATCAGAGCGATAACAGCACACAACTTGGGACACTAACCCACTTCTGTTGGCACAACAAATCCTTTACTTCTTTGGGACAAATAAGAACACACCATAATTATAACCGAAGATGTTTTAGTTGGAGCTGAACGTCGTCACCCCTGTAGGGGCTATAGCGCCACAAGCTCTGGAACAAGACAAAGTTCAGAAGTGGACAACAGCCGGAACATTCTGACGGTGTTCACAGCCGGTGTACTCAGAGAGAGAGAGAGAGAGAGAGAGAGAGAGAGAGAGAGACAGAGAGACAGAGAGGGAGAGAGAGAGAGACAGAGAGAGACAGAGGGAGACAGAGAGAGAGACAGAGAGAGACACAGAGAGAGAGACAGAGAGAGAGAGACAGAGGGAGACAGAGAGAGAGACAGAGAGAGACAGAGAGAGACAGAGAGAGACAGTGAGACAGAGAGAGACAGAGAGAGAGACAGAGAGAGCGTGGTAAATTTTTTTTTTTTTTTTTTTGTTAAACTACGAATGAACAAACTGAATCATGCTTTTTTCCAGACGCAGTGGTGTTATATAATCTAGAATCGCACTTTCGTCTAGTACTTGAAACAAACTGTCAAACACGCGGAAGTCAAAGATATGAAGCAAACACACAAAACAAGATATTATACTCTTGTGTGATTCCAGTGCTAACTTACGGATGCGAGAGTTGGAAAACAACAGTAATTGTAATTCTTTTTTTTTTTTAATTTAAAAAAATTTGAAACTAGACAATTTTGAGAACAAATTTCTGAGAAGAAAACACAATCTCAACTGGACAGATTTCGGATCCAATACGCAAAAAAAGACAAGAGAGCAAGTTAGATAATGAATGTATCCAATTTTATAAGAAAGCGCCGCTGGAACTACATCAGCCATGCACTCAGAATGGATCAGTCCAGACTCTCTCATCAAGCCCTTATATGGAAATTGAAAGGAAAAAGAAAACGGGGAAGACCAAGAGAGACCATCCTCAGGGAAGGCTCAACTCTGGGTCTAATGAACATTCAAGACCTAAAACAGGTGGCAACGAACCGCCGACCATGGAAAGCTATGACCTCTGCCATATGCGCCACACTAGGCTTAACAGGAAAAACTAAGTTGCGTTGAGTCAAGAATTGACATCAGCGCATTTAGGGCATTCCCATGCGTGCTCCGTCCCCATCTTCAGCAGCCAGCGCAGAGTTCCAATACTGAAGGTATCGGTCACAATCTAGTTATATGCCCGTCTTGCCTTTCCTCTGACTGTAGTGAGGCGGCCAGACCCTCTGGTTACACCCAGATGCCTCATTCTCGCCAGGCCATAATAATCTTCTATCTCTACTGATTCCGTTGCTTGTTCCCAAAGAGCCTTGACCACATCTGCCCTGTCATGTATCAGTTCACCACCCAGAGGTCCAGATCGAGCCACTCTGTACGCCTGACTAACTAACTAACTAAACTAACTAACTAACTAACTAACTAACTAACTAACTAACTAACTAACTAACTAACTAACTAACTAACTAACTAACTAACTAACTAACTAACTAACTAACTAACTAAACTAACTGACTGAATGACTGACTGACTGACTGACTGACCGACCGACCGACCGACTGACTGACTGACTGACTAACTAACTAACTAACTAACTAACTAACTGGTGTTACCTTTTCTTGAGGATAAACACATCAGTTCGAGAGAAGGATCATACTGTGTGGGCAAATCGCCAAAGAGGCACTAAAAGTGGAAGCTGAAACTTCGAGTACTACGACCACCACTAAAATGGGAAATAAAGTGATTCAGGAAGCGAGAACGTTCCCCCCCCCCCCTCCCTCACCCTCAAAGAAACCATAAAAGGAACTTTCATGAGAGAGGCCAAAGCTGCTGGACTGGATTCCATCCATGATATTGAAGTGATTGCACAGGATAGAGCACAGTGCAGGAATACACTGCGAGCCCTATGTGACATATAATGACTCTGCGGGGCGTTGATGAATGATGATTACTTCATTCATTCATTCATTCAGTAGCATGTCCCTCGCGGAACCTCGCTGCCATAACAACCCTCCGGAAAACCTTCCTATCATGAGCAAGATGTCCTGCGTCTGATACACCCATCTGGAGATCATCTGCCACATCCTGCACCCATCTTCTCCTTGGCCTTCCTCTTCCTCTCTTCCCAGGCATATACCCCTCCATTATTGTTCTCTCTAGACCTCCATGACGTTTCAAGTGACCAAAATATTTCAATTTTCTTTGTTTTATTGTCTTTACTAGCCAACCCTCTTCAATATTCAGCTCTTGAAGTATGGATGCATTTGTTCTTTTCTTTACCCAAGATATTCTTAGAACCTGTCTGTAACATTTATATTCAAATGCATTTATGCGCTGTTCCGCTTGTTTAGTAAGTGTCCAGGTCTCACAGGCGTATGTTGCAATGGGAAAGATGCATGCTCTTAAAAATCTGACCTTTGTAATTCTATCTGTACAATTCCATAATTTATTCAGTTGTTTTAGTCTTTGAAGAGCAATTGATAGTCGCCGTTTAATTTCTTTCATTGTGTCACCATTGTTGGTAACCAGTGACCCAAGATATTCGAAATTTTCCACCACTTCCAATCTTTCCTCATTAACATATATTTCCTTCTCCATGGCAGTTTTGTTTGTATGCATTATCTTTGTT